GATTCACCTGAGGCAAGTGGCCTTGTCCCGGCTCTGTCTTTTACACTGTTATATACACATAACATGGGACAAAATCAATTGTAACCATATAGAGACTATAAGCCGCCCAACCGATATAGTGGTTGGCGTCCCTGACTGTCGTGCCGAAGGGCCCAGGTTCGAACCCTGGAGAAGTTTGTAAATGTATAGTGTCGGTGCGGCATGGCGGCACTCTAAATATGCGGCGAGCCAAAAGTCCTCTCGTGTGGTTTGATAGAAGGGAAGATGGCTGATAAGTAAGTATTAAGATCAAATACTAAGTTAAATAACTTCAGTTCACTTATATATTTTCAAATCGACAGTATGTTAGATTTTTTAAAAAAAATATTTAAAATTAAATTTACTTTATTCGAATGAGGTTTCGATTGTTCACTTAGGCGTTTCATAAACTAGAACGCCATGTTATCGTTTAATTTTTATTTATAAACCACAGTGACAATGAGCATCGAAGCGTGTTCTTTATGATGGAAAAGTGCCATGAACAGGTGCGGGCTTAATCTTTCAAAAGAAAACGACAAAACGTTCCAAAAGAAATTATAATGGATGGAAAATAATCCACCATTCAAGGATTAACTGCAAAAATAGTGCTTTTCAAACTCCAAGGACTTAACTTCTTTAACAGATATCGATGTTCTTTGAAACTTGTAACGCAAAATATTTCTTTTATAGGTAAAACAAAGTTAATTTCAGCAACTTGCAAACATCATTATTATTGAAGATCGTTCTGAGAACAGAAATCATATTCGCGTATCGTATTCAAAACTACTGTGGACAATAATTGCTAGTAGCATGTGAAGAACATAACCAATGGTTAAAATACAAGAAAAGCGTTGTTTTTTATTTATACAGAAACTCTTTTCCAAGTAAGTTTACTTTTCTTCTATTGAATTAAACAAACATGAAACTCCTTTGCAACGGAGAAGATCATGCGTCTCTTAATCAAGATGCTATGCAAAGGAAAGCTGAAAATTTAGTTCATGCAGAGAGAACTAAAATTCCACGAATTCACCAAACTATGTTTAGTTAGAGGCTACTTGCCACAACCGAGTTCTCTCATTTCCGCAGGAATATCGAGTTGAAAGTTCTAAATAACAACATATTTTTGCACTCTTCTGTGTCAGGAGTCTAAAATGATCTTCTTAGAATGTACATAGTTAAAAACGAAAGGGTGAATTCTAATCTCAAAGCTTGTAGCACTTTTACTTTACTTTTGGTTACTTATTTTTTATTTTTTAAAGAAAATTTATTACATTGTGATTTGCATACAAAGAGTTGTGATTAATTTATGATGTATTTATGATGAAAACACGAAAGAATTTTTGCATCGCATGTACTGAATAGCAAGTAAGTTATCATAAATGAAAAATTCTTTATGAAAGAGCTTACTTAGAATTTCAGAGAAACAATGCACATTTCTTTTAATGTTTATGAATACCTTTGTATCTTTTTCTTACCATCCTGATAAAAACTATGCATATTTAAACATTTTCTAAAAAAGAAGAAGAGCATTCAACAACTGCTGCCCCAAAGAACTAATTTTTACGCTCTGTTCTCACAATGTAATCTCATGATCATAAAAATTAAGAAAAATTACAGTTCTACTATATTTTTGATAAAATCTTCTGTTTTGCTTTAGTATATGTTGAAGAAAGAAAAGAAATATTGAAATAAACCTAATTTAAGATAAAAATTACAGATATAAAAGCTTTCGCAAATATATAAATAATGCAATATTGCTTTTTTTATATTATTAAATTTAATTTTATGTTAAAAATAAGCCAAATATTAAAATAAGCAAAATACACAGTCCACTTAATTATACGGTTCGTTTTTTATTGCACACCTAATGCCCATACCTTTAAAAATATATATATATATACATAATTGTAGGTCTTTTAACATGAAAAATCACTATACCTATAGGTTACAATAAAGTTATTAAATAATAAAAATCTGAAAGCTTTCAGAGGACGCCACTTTAATCCCAAAGGGACTTTTTTAATGTTTTGTGTGTTACCTTTATTTATTAATTATCACCTTCTTCGCACTTAAACCATAAAATTCAGTTCAACAGCAATATCGTAAAATAAATTTAAAATGAGCATATCTTTAGAATTTCAGTACTACACAGTCTCGCGCGCTGGCAATAAAAATATTTTCTTTTCGTACAGTTTTGCCATTGCTCGCTTTGAAATCGTTGATTTTATTAATCAAAAATTCATTAGTTTTACAAAATATGAAATAGATAATGAAACAAATTGCAAGCGCTAAATGCACTTATTCGGGTGGAAACGAACGTTATTCAAAATTTGATGGTTCTAGGTACCGTTGTTTTATCACAATGCGAGAAACATATACACATTTATGCAAATTCTTCATTACTTAATTTCTTTAAATATAATACAGGGCGACAATATTTGGTGGCAACAATGTGAAAAGTGAACTGACATTTAGAGTGAACCAACGCAAAATGCCAAAACGAAATTAATAGTCCTTCTGGGCAAATTGCTCCTTTAACTAAAAATAAAATAAATGCTTTTTTACTATAACGCAGTATATTACCATTGTTTTAGAATAAAAATTCTTATTTTTAGTTTAGCCCAAAGTTTCATTCTATAGAAAAGAGCTCTTTACCATGTCTATATGCTTGTTCGCGAATGTGTTTTGCAGAGGTTTAGTATTAAAATATAAATATGCAAGCAATGTATTTCTGCTATAAATTTGCAAACGCGCAAATAAAATATTTGCACTTTAAAAAAAAAATAAATACTTCTTCTGTTACCCTGCAAAGACTTCGTTACTCCGAGCTGCAGTGAGAGAAAATCCTTAAATTCAGGTAATATGATCCAACGGTCGCATGAATATCACACGCTCAGGATCAGTACATTCTAATGTGGTTTAATAAAAATTATGTTTCTCATATGATCGCTTAAATAACTCGCATTATTATTCCCTGCTCGAATTTTGCTATATAGTATTTGTTATCTCACTTAGTGCATCATCTTTCGCTATTATCATCGTCCTAGGATCTAATCTCAGATTACGCACAGCAGATCCTTTTTGCAGGATAAATGTATGTTGAAGAATCACAATCAACAAACCAGGATCCTTGAATTAGCTGAATGAAAATGTGTAAAATATAATGGTTTATTCATTTGAGAACGTTATTAAATTGATAAACCCTTAAAAAGATTATGGTTTATACATTCAATTAATTTAATAAATTTCGTTATTTAAGAGCTCAAAGTTTTTATTATTCGCGATATAAAATTATGGATGAATTCTGTAAAGAGACGTATTTAATCTATTATTTCCATTAGATAAACTGTTTCCCCTTTTAGTTCATTAATTATCATATCCATTTTGAATGGAAGCTTGTGGTATAAAATCCTTTAATTGTACTTTTTTTTAAGTCTCACATGTTATCAATGATGAAATTTCGTCATTAAAACACAAGCAATAAATTATAAGGAAATTACGAAATAAAGAAAAGTAGAGGAGCGTCATTCAGAGAATGAAGAAATCACTTTGAATAGTCATTTTTGGAAATTGGATACAATAGCAATGTTGCAACAAGCATTTTAATTGAAACAAATTTAAAAAAAAAAATCGCCATTTCGTTATTAAGAGCTCCAAGAGGCAAAATTCCTCATTAGTTGTGCCAATATAGCAAGCTCAAAAGCAAATTTCCCGCGAGAAACGTCTTCCGTCTGCTTCAGACTGCAACATATTTTTTTTTAATTAGAAAATTGCTCAGTTAAAATTTTTGTGATTTTTATTTTAAAAGAGAGCGAAAATTTATTTTATAATCTGTGAAAATTTCAAAACTTTATTTTCAATGTATTTTCAGATCTTGAAATTTTTAAAATCATAAACGTCAAATAGACTAAAAAATCGAGAGAATTTCAAAAATTCACCAAGAATTCAGAATGTAAATCAAAATTTTGATGCAAACTTCATTGAAAAGATTTTTTTCACTACATTCGATGGTGCAGTGAAATTGTGATGTGCTTCATCTGTTCGTTAAACGAAGATATGTGCAAAAAATCGTTTAAACATTAAATGAAAAAACTTTATTCGAGTATTAAAAAAAAAAAAAAAATAAACTCTTCACCACATTGCATTGTCATTGACAAACTGTGTGTGTTAAAAATTTGAGCTCAATAACTTATCTGGAAGTAGGTAGAAAATCGGTGACAACATTTCAGTCACAATAAAACACTGTGAGTGAACTAAATAAAAGCTTAGAAAATTGCACCATCTTGAATAAAGATATAGCAGTTGCAGTCAAAAAGCCTCAAAATAGTGTTGGTGTATTTAATTATGGCAAAGCACACGAGGGCTATCTGCCTAAAGGGAGGGATGCCTTTCGTGGAGGACTTTCTAAGGGAAACTGGCTCGTATACACGTTACACATGGGGAAAACCACGAAAACGCCCATGCAGCCAGCCCGTTCGCGGGATTCGAACCTCAGACCGAACTACCAGTGTTCAGCGCCTTTACCGCTCGGCCGCTGGTGGGCCCAAAGCCTCAAAATAATTTTTTTTTAATTGAGTATTTTGCGACATTACATTTTCATCTATTTCACGTTGCGGGATATAATATGTTTTTAAATAATTTCGAAATCCACTCCCTATATTAAATGTAGTGATTTTTTTTTTTTTCGTTACCCACATACTTCAATGTTAAACTGCGCATGCGTGGCCGGTATCACTTGCTATGTACTTAATGCTCTTTAATAGTGCAAAGTTTTATTTTACTTCCAAAGAAATTAATTCTGAGAATTCTAAAATACTCACTACTTTTAAATGTGCTTAAATGTTAAATGCTTTTGAGGGGAAAAAAATTTGATCACAAATATATTTTTTGCATATTTAACATTACTTTTTTCTGAATTTACATTAAAATGTATCATATTATAAAATGTTCATAACGAATAGGAAAGGTTTGATTTTGTTTAGATGATCATGGGAAATTGCTCTAGGGATATTTGCCTAAGGATAGATGCCTTCCTGGAGGACTTACCTAAGGAAAATAGCTTGTATAGATGTTGCACGTAAGGAAAATTATGAACGCACATATGCAGCCAGCCCATTCGCAGTGATTAGAATCCTGAAATAATTACCAGTGTTCAGAGACTTTATCGCTCTGCGACTGGCGGGCTTCAAGCAGAAAAGAAACATTTTCAACTGGCAGATCAATAAACTGTTAAGTAACATTTTATAGTTAGGTAAGTAAATAATACATTATACAAAAGCTCGTATATTATAGAATATTCAATTATTAGCGGAGAAAAAAAACTCTTGGATATATATTAAGAAGAAATTTGTTATTTCATATTAAGAAAGGTGTATTAAAATAGGAACAACGAACACAAACCGCGCATACATTCGTAAATCAGATATCATAAATTGAGAGTATCTCTGTACACACCAAGCGTATTCACCGGCTGAAGTCAATGGGAAACAAACTATTGTACTGACATCTCACGGGAGTAATGCACAGAACTGTGGATGCTGAAAGATACCACACGAGATTATGAGAGACGTTGTACATAATTAATGAACCAGGATTGCTGACAATGGACACATGAGATTAAAGAAGCAGGTTTACTGTGTGAACCAAGACCTGAGTCAAATGCATCGGAGAAACAGATCTTTCGCCCACTCCGGCGGCAGTATAAGATTCGTAACTTAACTTTATTACGTAATGCAGTATGAATGGCTGCCGTCATTGATTAATTCTAATAATTTTAATTAAAGCTTTCTTTCGAATGATGTAAATGAAACAATTCTTTCTTAATGAGTTCCATGTCTTCATTAATCATCCCAAAGCTATTATTTTTATTAAATATTTATGGTTTTACTGCGATTATATTAACTGCTAGAACATTGATCGTTGTATATTCCGCGCACTTTATGCATTTTTTTATTCTTATATTTAAACTATTTTAGCTTTATTTTTCACACAGCAGTTTTCAGAAGTTTGTAAATCATTCTTTCGTTAATAATGTTGATATTTTCTCTATTCGAGGACGCCTTGGCTCCAATACTGTAATTACTATAAAATGTGGATATATAATCAATGTGTAGCACAAACTATAAAACATATATGGATATAAAACCAATATTCGAAAACATCTCAGCCCCAGTACTGTAATTATTCTAAAATATGGATATAGTAAAATCAAGTGAGATTCCGTTCCATTAAGCCTTTAATAAGAATTTGCATTTTAAAATTTCGATATAAAACTCAATCTCATTAGAGGTAAACTAATAGTTTCCGGATACAAAGTCACAGCCTGTTAAATTTTTCTTATATGAATAATATGTATTTTTAGGAAATTTTATTAATTTATTTAGTTTATAAAGTTAGTAAGTGAACAGATATTGGACTGATTTACGATAATTTGTGCAATATTTATGTTAATTTTTCCATGCAAAAATGAGTAGTATGCTGAAATAATCTTTCATCAAGTTTGACAAGAACTGTTCTTTTGTCATTTATAATTTTAATTTTTAAGAATTTGTAAAGAATGTATGTTGTATAACCAATGAATGCCTATTTAACTTTCCAGTGTTTATGATAGATTTTACTGATTTAATTTCATATATATATGCTTAATAAGTAAAACAAATAAATAAATAGAAATAAAATAAAAAACAAAATTTTAAAAAAATTTTTTAACTTTTTGAATTTATTTTAACGATGTTTATACTATACAGTACTTGAATACTTGCTCTGTCAGAAAATATCGTATATATTTAGAATTAGGTTCTGTCTGAAATTATGTTATACATTTACAACTGTAATTAATACTGAGTAAGTCTTAAGTAAATAAATGAAGTTGTGTCGATGCGGAACCTAGTTTTGGCCAGGGATTTGAACCCTGGACCTCTCATATAAGCGCCGAGTATGCTTCCAATTACACCAACAGGCATGCAGAAAGGAGAGAGAAATACCTTATAACACTTTTTATAAATTTTACAAAGGTTAAGCACTTTCTTAAACAAGCGTTTAAAATATTCATTTGATTATAATGACTAGAGTAAACAGATTTAAATAACCTGACTAAAATTAAATTTAATCATTTGGCAATGCATTTTATGCTAATTAGCCGATTTTTATGATTTAAATATTTATTATAACTTATTCCTTTCCGTTATCTCTTCAAAATGCAAATGAAGTACATTTTAAGGTAAGAATTCTGAATGTGTGCCACCTAACCGGGATAGTGCTTAACGACGCTTACTGCCGTGTCTAGGGGCTCGGGTTCGAATCCCAGAGAAAGCATGTCCAGTGTTTCTTGGTGAGTTTTTGGTTTTCTTATTTTAGAAATTTCGCAGTCTAAAACTAATCTTATAAATTAGGTTGGTTGGATAATTAAATATGGCCAAGCATATGGTGCATAGCTGCTTAAGTTAAGGAATGCCTTCATGGAAAATTTGTTAAGGAAAAGTGGCTCGTATTCATTTTGCACATCTGAAAAATTACAGAAACTGCGCAGCCAGCTCGTTCGCCTGCGTTGGGCTTTGGGACAAACTACCGGTATTCAGCAATCTTTCATCACTTAGCCGCTGGTGGAACCGCTTAAATTAGGCGCCAGGTTATCAGATTCTAATTTACTATTCGATTTGCAATTTAAGCTATTGTTATATTCTCAGGCACAATTAGAAGAATTTTGTTAATGCGTTAGTTTTTAATCAACCAAGCCGGAGTGCAAATGAACACTGAATTAGTTACATTTGCTATTATTTACTCGCACGATATTCTTGGAAACTAAGCTAAAGATGAGATGATTATCTCACTGTGTTATTCACCTTATATTTAGTTTGAGTGACATTTACTTTACAGGCTGAGCAGTCAAAATAATGCTGCAAGTTCAATGTTTCACTGAGTAGCTGACTTAAACAGCTGAGAATTAAGCAAGCGGTTCACTCAAAAACAATTATATTGCACGATAATGCATCTTTTCATTGGTCAATAACCATTTCGCAGAACCATTTTGTCCTGAAAATAAGTATCATCATGCACGTTCTCCAGATTTGTCTTTTTACGACTATTTTCGCTTCTGAAGTATAATAACCTTTCAACGGAAAGCTTTCTTGGCATGGAAGAGATAATAAGAATACGACAGTCTATTTATAGAGCTGTTTCAAAAACAAACTACAAGCCCCCAAGTCAGAATGAATATTGAAACATGTTATTTGAATTTGATACTGATTCAAAGCCGAGTTTTTATATTTGTTTTTTAAAGGATGTATTCCTTCAATTTTGGCTTACTGAACTTGACTATATTTGGATTCATTCTTCGCCTTTTTCCACAAAAACGAAATTCTTATACGCGATATGCCAATACTGAAGAGCATAATTTTAAACTACGTATTTAACAATATGAACTAAACTTCAGAGCTAACTTCAGATATTAACCATCTTACAAAGACTGTTTTAAAAAACTAGATTTTCCTTATATTATTTGAAATAATAATTTTCTTAAAAATATGCTTTTTAATATGTCATTTACTAGTTTTACAAATTATTAAAATTATATGGTTTAGAATAGTTCAATCCAATATTAATATAGGATCATTAGACGGGACAGTATAAATGCTGAATTATGTTGACCAAAATTTTTTGGCAGATGCTTAATTCCTGTATAATTTGATAAGCACAAGCACATTTTTAACTCAGCTATTTGTCCTCCGAATTTTATTTCAAGCTTAATTTGCAGTTAAAATGTCTAGAAAATGATAAGCTGTCCCCCTGAATGATAAACAAAACTTTTAAAATAGTTTGATAAAAATACGAAATTTAGGGAAATATAACTGTTGGAAAAACTGGGCATTCTTGTGTCGACATTAGAAACAAAGCTTTCTGAAAGAAGACAATTAGAAAAAAGAACAGCAGTTTGAGGAAAACAGCTTGAGAGAAACTGCGTATTCAAGGCGAAATGCTTAGAATTCCAAACCATATTTTGCTGAGGTTTTTCACTCAGTGTTAGTACCTCAAATATGCCAGCAAATGGTCCTAGTCTAACGAAAGAGACGGAAGAAGTAACATCGCGAAGGGCAACTGGTTTTTTTTTTCCCTGGAGAGCTGTAGAAATTTAAATTACGTCATAGAATGCTATATCATACCGTAAATGGAGAATCCAAAGATGTCTTAACCGAATTTGTTGAAGATTCAAGAATTTATCCAAAGGCGTATATAGGGCTATCAGACAAAATTGTTTTCAGTGTTCATGAAACCAGTCTTTTCTTTCATCTCCTTTCAAAATGTCTAGCCTCTGAAAACTTTCCAGTAACATGAATAAAATCGTTTCACTATTTTACTGGCCAAATACCCATAAAATGAAAGGCGACACTCTAATCATAAGACTGTCACAGAAAACAAGCTGTTACAAAAGTGTGTATGGTATATAGTTAATAAAAAAGGGAAGATGATTGTGGATATATCTGCATATATTCAAGAAAATCATTCGGACATTAAGGTTTTCTCGAGACAAAAAGCCGTTAAAAAGAAAAATTCAAGTCATTAAAGAGATAAAATATTTTTTTGATTAACTGATTTTTTTATTTTATTTTATTTTCATTTATTTATTTATTTTACATAAAATTTAGTCTATTTCATTTTTGCAATTTAAAACACGAAAAATTTGAACGTGTTAGGAAATATGGATGATATTTCACCAAACTAAATATAGAGTGATAAAACTGTGTATAACAACACCACAGTAATTAAATTGGAGAAAAAATGAAATGTAGATTATAAATCTTTCACATTTATATATCTCTTCTAAATGGCCCATTAATTGGTGTATTAAACGTGCTTTATTTAAACGATATTTGCTGCTTAAAGACAAAATGCAGTTTTCAAAATTCAATTTATGACGAATACTGAGTCACAAAGTGTTTTCAAAAGAAATGCTATTCAAATAAATAAAATCGGATTTAAAAAGAACATTTATATGAACAAACATGCTTAAATTACAAAATGCGAAATAATAATCAGAAATTTTTTAATTAATTAATTTTAAGAACTATAATTCAACCAAACAACTCAAAAACTGAAAATCAAATTCTTCAAAAAGTAAAATAGTCTAAAAATAGTAAGCGGGATTAAAAAATATAATAACACAAAAATTTCCAAGAAGGAAGAAACGAGGCATTTTTTCCTCATGTTCCAGAATAAAAAGAAAAGCGAAATTATTAACGTAAACTGAGAAGTTCGCTAAATGAATTACTCATGCTTGAAATCAGAAAAATATTGCAAACTATATTTTGGAATTCCTTTCTTTAATTCCAAAATTCTTTTGTTGGTAAGTTTCTAACCAAATTTTACAAAATCTGGTTTTTAGGTAAAAATTGAAGTGTAGAATCTAAATATGAGATACAAAATGGAATATTATTTCAGAGACAGTCCGGTTTTGAGTCAAAATATGTATGCTAGAAAAATACTGTATGTAACCTAATACTTATGCTATACATAATCCGCTATCCTACTATAATTTTAGGACATATATATTCTAAATTGCAAGACATGAAAAGTGAAATTGAGTTTGCTCAATCGGCTGAGGAGAAAGAGAAATATAAACCTGTCGCTTTCCCCCTTTTTAAAATTTTAATTAATTAATCGGTTTATCTTAGTCTATAGCTTGAAAGTGTTTTTAAGAATATTACTTTAGAATTAGTTTATTATGGTAGTACTAAAATTTTATTCAAAAGTAAAAAATAACACGGACCACGAATGATGTTAAAAACATTCATAAATTTTATCGTTAAATAATTATTACAAATATCATATAAAATTAAATTTTAAATTAACACCAATCGAAAACTGCCATTATGTTGTTATTGCTTAACCGACTGTGAAAAGGCAATGAAAATAAAATTCTGAAAATAAAATATGAAAAGTCATATCTCTCAAAGATAATGCAGGCATTCGGAGAAAACTTTTTAAGGAACACAACTTTCATTCACTTAACATACGGAGGAAAGACATGAAAATCCATGTAATCAGTCTATTTACCGGAATAAGAATAAGGGTCGTACTACCTCTACCTGTTATCTTAACCACTCGTTTAGTTCAATACATTAAAAAAATTACATTGGTTTAATTTGATCCATTAATAAGCAATGCATAGCTACAGTTTGTAATGTTAAGTGAAACATGATAATGCCAGCTAAATATTTGTTATTACTTTCTATCTGAAGAAATATTATTGTTTTCTCGAAATGAAAGTAATAAAAACTTGCTTAAATTTTACAGAAAAATTAACTCTTCGCACGTGTGCAATTTAATATGATTCGTTACAAAGCTGAGGCAGAGCATCTGAAGTCTCTCTGGTTTGCTTATGAATGCTGTATTGCTAAATGGCAGCTGACTAATTTTGTGATCAAAGACATAAATGAGGTAAACCTTTTTGCTCCTCATGCGCCTGATGGATGTTGTCTGTTTTTATGGACTATTTCCATGCCTTCATTAGCAACGGTTGGAACTTGGCACGCACATTCGATGGAAAGAATGGGTTCCTTTTTAACCCCGAGGCGTGTTATACTCCGACTTGAAACCTGGAGGCGAAGAGGCTTTGGTGAAGGTCGGACATTTCGCATTTGTCAAAATGTATCAGCCTCTTGGACAGCTGGGAGCTAATTGCTCCTTGTGCCGACAGTGGCGGCTAGATGCCAGTCTACTGCTGTGTATTATTATCCATGTCTAAACCTTTTTGGCAGATAAGCATAAAAATTTATGTTCTATACAAATTTAACTGTTCTTCTCATTGAACTGGAAACGGTAAATACCCCGCAAAATAAATTGTAAGAGTTATTCAAGATATTTATTTTAATTAAAAGTAGCTGTTGCATATATTCCAAATGCTATCACTAATTTTATTTGCTTTGTGTTACACAATGTAAATAAAAATTTATCCTGGCAAACACTGCAAGGTAGAAACAATTTTTTGACACATAAAACGTTAAATGGTTCTACAAAACATCCTACAAATTAGGAAAGTGTACAGATTTTAAACTCAGAATGAAAAATATATATAAAACCTTTCATACTGAGTTTAAAATCTATGTATTCTTTTTCTCATTTGTATAGATATAGATATATGCTCATTCGTAAGAATAACTCAGGATGAAGTATATACTTTCATTCTGAGTTTAAAACCTGTATTCTTTTTCTCATTTGTATACTCCAGTTTGAGAGAAATTATGAACTTCGTTCAAGACAATTACATAAAAGCAAATCTCATATAAAATTTATTCTTATAACTTGCGTTTAAATATTGAACTTCAAATGATATTTATTGAATTTAAATTTCGAAATAAAATCACTCTATTCAAATAACTATTCTCATATTTCACGATCGGTACTGATTTCAAGAGAATGAGTTTCATATCTGAAATTTTCTTTGTTGACTCTATGAAATCTTCAGAAGAAAAATTTTATTAAATTGTTAATTAAATTTTATTAAATACTATTAAAGGCCTAGAAAAGAAAGTCTCTTGTTCAGGTCTCAACATCGAAAGATATAGTTATTTTAATAAATTATTAAAAACCAAAATTGAAAGTTCTAGGCCCTCTAGTTAATTGTTGAACATTTAACGGTTCACTTCAGTTCTGCGCCTACCATCTTTAATTCACTACTTTTGTTTTACTGATTCTATTACTTTCTGTTTTACTGAGGCCTTTGCTTACCGATTCAGAAGATTTATTTCAGACTTCAAGGTTTACAAAGCTGAAAAAAAGGATTTAACTATTTTATGATGGGCAAACTAACTGTTTGTATATATACTCGTATTGATTCAAGTGCGTAGAAGAGAAAGATAATCTACCTTACAACGACTCTCGTGGAAGATAATAACATCAAGATTCAAAGCAAAATGCAGAAAAGTATTCAGGCCCATCTCAAATCTTTGAAAGAACTGTTTGAACTTCAAATCTTGGCAGAGTTTGAATGCATACTATATGTGTTGATTGTGAATAAAAACTATACATCTTAAAGGAGTATGAAGTCGTCAGAGATTTGACATCCCACAGCGTACTAAAAATCGCGTTTCCAAATCACTACAAACAAGTCTACTGTATACAATTTGAATTTAAAATCTTGGTTTAAAAAGCAAAATTATTGCTTCTGTCTTTCTCAACTGATTATCCCTCTAAAGCAGGAAACTTCTTGTATACAGATACCAAAACAATACAGACCCCTGCTGAACACGGACTTGCGGAACTCAATTTTACAAATCTAAAATATCTCCATTTAATTTGTCGAAAGTGAAAATTTCAGTTATAGACGGTATACTATATAAGATTGGCCAAGTTGCAATAGTCCTTTTTAATGACTGGTTTGAAAGTTCATTCATTAAAAGAGCCAAACAATGATTAGAGCAGAAAAACTCGAGCTTTAAATTTCTTCAATTTCTCAATGATGCTCCAGGGCACGGTGCTGAAGCTCTCGCAACACTGCATCCAAATATACACATTTTCTTCCTTCCACCGAACACCATTTACTTAATCCAGCCAATGGATCAAAGAAAGCCATGTTAACATCTCTGTAAATAAAGCACTAGATGAAGGAAAGCACGACGCATGACACATTAATGGCATTTTGAAAGCAATTCAATATAAGTTATAAAGCATTTCTCCCGCCTTCCTAGTGTGCCTTCGTGGTCTAGTGGTTCTGCAGGCTGGGTCGGTTATTCCAGAGGTCCGTGATTCGATTCCCGGCGAAGGCATTTTTGCCTGCTTCCGGCTTTAACCTAATGTCTCTACAAAGTCATTGCAGAGAAATAATGAAGCTTGTCTCGGAACAAGGGAATTAGAGATGGACGATCAGCTCCAGAACTGATTCAAAGAATCGATTAACTTTATTGAACGAATGATCAGCGCTCCGATGGAAACTGGACGGCAGTTGTATAACAGTTCACCGAGAGGTGTTGTTGGGAAGAGTGCCAAAAAATTTGATTCCTCTTAATGTAAACACTAGCATTCTTTCCTTTATTATTTACTGGAAATGTTTCTGAACCTATTTTTATGTGTGTTATTAATGTATATGTATGTGCTTTTGTCTTGCTTGTATTCCATCTAGTATTTAAAAAACAAATATTAAATCGACGCAACTCAGAGAAACTAGCCATCCCTGTTTGCAAATGGATGGAGTTCCCCCCAACACCATCTGGCAGTGCAAGGATCTATTTAAAGTTTGTATATTACAGGAAATTGTTCCTCGGATTCTCAGCTAATAGCGTTCCGTGCTCCGGCACAAGTCGCAGATCTGGGTCCTTCGGAGTCGTGATTACTCGCTCTTTCATCGCTTCTGCTCTTAGTCGTGGATCTGATTCCGATGGAGTCTTGATTATTTACTTTTTTCGCTTCCTTGGAGCTGTTCCTTTGAGTTTCATTTCGATTATTTGAATACTGTGCCATAGTATAGCTATATATATTTGGTATTACTTTTTTTTTGTACAATATTACTATAACATTTATGTAAAATAATAAATTATATTTTTATTCATTTACTTATTTTACTAACGTCTTGCAATCAAGAACTGTTAATTTCTCTTTAATCTTCTTTAGAATTAGTATTTGTACATAATTATAAATTTTTCCACCTAATTTATTTTTTTAAGGTTGCAGAACAAATTGTGGATTTTACCGAACAGATGAACGTCGAACGATATTTGGTATCATTTTATCAAATTAGATAATAAAAAAAAGGAAAATGCCGTAATTGTCTGCAGACAGTTTCCTGTTCTTTGGGATCTGCCTCCAATTTAAAAATTTATTTTTACACTGTGCTTTGTATTAGCAACAAAATATCAATTGTAGCAATAAAATAATGTAATCGTTAACAAAAGTGAGTTTAGTTTTGATTAATTTTAACTTTTAGCGTTTTTTATTACATAATTTTATTGTTGTTCTATGTAGAAAATTTTTTTAAAGAATCTCAAAAGTACAGTTGACGAAATCAGTCCAGGGAGTGATGGGCTTCATTGAGTAGATTCCAGCAATCCCACTTCTTGTTCGATTCCTTTTCCTTTTTCCCCATCTTTGCACACCGCTCTTGATCCATGCCTGTTCCGAACGCATTCATCAGGGTCATTGTTAGTGAGCAGTGAATCGTTAAAAAAGAACTAATTCACTTCAGTGAGTGAACGGTTGCGATCTGATCCCTTAAAGGAGCGGTTTTACCCATCTGTAAAGTGAATTCATCAACAATGAATGCTTGCTTGCATCAGTTCTGACTAGAAGTTGAAAATAATTTTAAAGGATTTCCATCGATTGAAAATTAGGCCAAAAAAATGGTACAGAATGCAAAAGCAGTAGACGCCGAAGGAATTTCAAACATGGAAAAAAGAGAAATCAAAGAATTAATCGAGAATGACGACGATTTTCAAATGACAAATGAAGAAGTGGATGATCTTATAATACCAGTCGACGTTGAAAGAAGCGATAATGAAGACCATAAAAAGCTTTTAACGTGTGAGAAATTAAACGTATTGTTCAGAAAGGCACAGGAACTCCCTAATTTTGTAATGGAGACTAACCCATGTGAAGAAAGAAGATTCATCATGAGAGGTATTGAAAAACTTTTCACTCCTTACCGCGAAACGCTTAGTAAGTTCGTTAGACATTGTCCAAAGCAAAAATCAGAACTATTAAAAATAACTGAATTATGTACTTATTTATTAAGCAGTAAAAGAAATCCTTTCAATTAACATTTGTTTCATTTCCCCCCTTTTAATTACTATAATATTATTTTATTTATTTATTCTTTATATATACTTGAATAAATTATACATACTTAAACTATACCCAACCGTTTTTTCCATAGAGAGTTAACGTTGCGGAATGCGATTTTGCCGTTACGACATAACCCCCACATTTGGCAAGGGATTACTGAATACAAAATCCGCATCAATGCAGAACATGGCACTCGTTTGCACTTATCAAAAGTTGAATATAAAATTAGAAAACTGTTTACTAAAATGCAAGTGTGTCATTAAACGTTTCCACGCCTTTTTGTACTACCTGGTAATTTAAGACAAATCGCACTATAGTTGCATAACAGCAAAAATAAATTTGTCTTGTGTACAAATTTCTAATAAAAAGTAATAATCGAGTATGTATTTGAATGGTATTGCAAGTAATGATTAACTTACAGGAGCCGAATTTATGTAACGATTTTTAATGATTCTTTCAACAATAATGTAAAACATGCGTTGAACGCAAATTGGTTTGATTTATTGAGCTTTGTAAGAACCTGCATATATTGCTAACAGTATCACGCTAAGAATAAGTACAGATATTGTATTTCCTTGGGATAAATAATAAATATACAATTTTTTAATTAAATTAATTAAATAATTAATTTAATTAAAAATATTGAGCATTGTAAGACCTTGTATGTATGGTTAACAGTATCACACTGATAATAAATACAGATATTTTATTTCCTTGATATAAATAATAAATATACATTATCAGTTTAAAATTTTAAAACATAATTTCATTTCATGGACATTTCACAACTGTTTTTATGCCTCCTGACTTTACATTCCTTTGCTATCTATACGGTTTTCCTACCCTTGCAATGCTATTCTTAAACATCATTAGCTTGTAAGACATAAGATGAGCCTAAGGGGGCTCCGGTAAAGGAACTGATTCTAAAAAGGGCTCCGCGAGTCAAGTTTGAGAAAGGCTGTTCTAGGACTTGTAAAAGAGGGAGTGATCTAACGGATCTGTTTCATTCGTAAGTGACACATATTTCTTTGATAAATGTGTATCTCGTGAATCTACAGGTAAAAACTACACCCACGTGCTCTCGGACTGTCACGCAATAAATGTATTAGGAAATTCCGGAAATGGAATCTCATGTAGGGGTTGTTTCCTCACTTAATTTCCTAACAATTCTTTTCACTTGAGTTATCTCTTTTTTCTCGCTTTTTACGTAATAAAAGCAAGAAGAAAAGAGTTTTTCAGTTAAATAAAGTTTGTTACATTCTTCTTTTTCATTGTTACATGTATTCAGTAAGTTTTGTTTCTTTATGTGTAAGTGCCTGAAACTTTAAAGCAACTTTAAAGATGAAACTTTTAAAGATTAAAAATTAATGATTGGCGGCTTTTTAATTTCATTTGTAAGTTTTGAATTTTTAATAAACATGAATTATATGCTAGTATAAATTAAAATATATCCTCCACCTATCATTAAAATATATCCTCAATATGACACAGTGATTGCATTCCTAGAAAACGCCACGTTATGAAACCGTGCCGAAGCTAAGAATAAATGCTATACTGAACAAAGAAATAATGCATGAATTAAACTCCCAAATAAAACAAAAGTGCACTAATAACATGTAAAAGCTGTCATCGTTCCAAATTCTGAAAACATTTTCCAGCTCCAGTACTACTAGCTTTCAGGAAGAAGCAGTCTTTATTCCGAAAATAAAACGTTATACAGTAGAAAGTCACCTGAATTTCTGTTTATGTACTTGCAGATTTATTTTTTTTTCCTAATTTAAATTTCAGGTTTTCGTGTATGCATTTCTTCTTTACTCCAGAAAAATAAAATACCTCACACATAAAATTAATATATTTTAAAAAATGTCTTTACTGTACAAATTTTTAAACTCTGCATAAAGAGTAAAACAAAAAGAACCATGATGTATTTTATTTAGTGGTGAGTTCCTGTTAAACAGAAACTGAGTTCTAGAGATCTAATGTTATATGGATATTTTCTCAGTTGTTTAGTAGCATTAAAGAGGAATTGCATTGATTTAAGACAGAGGCCTCGACTTTCTTGGCCAAATCAATGTTTAATTATAAGATGATATTGGGACCAGCCGCGCTTCCTTTACAGTAATTTACCAACAGTGGTACACGTTTAAGGGATATTAACCATTCTAAATTTAACTAGCTTAATAATTTTAAAATCTTAAGAAGGGAGAAACAAATAAAATTTTTAATAAAATAATAAAAAACAATGCACGAAATACATATAATGCGATGGCGTCTTTACCCCTTAGATCTGAAACACAAATCAATAAATAATGTGAAATGAAAATAATTGTTGTTAAACTAAACCGATATTTATCACTCATGCCTCACTCAATGCTTACCATACCTCCATTATTATTAATCATTTTTATCATTTCTTGTAAAAATGTTGTATTTCTATACTTGAAAGAAGCTTACGTATCTTATAATCTGAAAGGTATATAATTAGATCATATTCCTAGCACTTTCTTTTGCTATTATTGGATCATATTCTTATACCAGGCATAAAAATTAATCTTCCGTTTGGGAGATTCCGTCTTGTCAGTTAAAACTAAAGAGAATCAAATGCTCCAAAATTTCAGAGATCAATTTTCTATGCTAGAATTAATCATTTAAGATGCATACCAATTGTCAAGCTTTGTTAAGTTAGTATTCATATCATTCTTTTCTTAACAGTATTCCTTTTTGAGCTCATTATCTTTTATACTTGTAGAGCTATTAGATATTTTTTGGAAGCAGGAGAGATGAAAAATATGCAATGCCTTCGCCAGGAATCGAATCACGGACCTCTGGAATATGCGGCCAGCATGCAGAACACCACACCAAGAAGGCATGAGAAGAAGGCGGGAGAAATACCTTATATACGTTTCTTTTTCCAAACCGATCTTTGTCACTTAGAGGAGAAATCGAATAAAAGGACGTAACATACATCAATAACTTTTATTTTTATGTAATATGCTCTTACTCCATTTAAATTTGTGCATAATATAAAACATTAATAGTTGTGTTCTAGGTCACCTAATTAAAAACACAGATAATAAAAGAGTTCAGATGAAATTCGTGAATTGAAATAATATGCAATTCCTATATTATTTCAGTTTTGTCTCATATAAAGTTTTTGACATATACATACGGTTATTATTTTTCCGATACTCTTTCAAACTGAACTCCCTATACCTGTTATTCGACTTAAATTGGAACGGGATTACTCTGAGACCTTCTGTGTTGATTCTTCTGAATTTGCCTAATGAGAAATTAGCGTTTTGTTCAGGATCTCCAAGGTAAAGGGAGTGACGACATTTGATTGAATACTAAGATAAGGGTAAAAAAAGAAGGAACAGCTTTGAAGCCCTTCCGCTTTGTTTCAGAGTTTGAATGATAGCTTTTTCGAATAAAATAGAAAACATTTTACACATTTTGTAAGGTTATTTAGTCAAAAATCATGCTTTTTCACCCTGTTAAAATGCATTTTACCATACCGGTATGGGGAAATTTCATAATGACTCACAAGCTGAGCACAACTGAGTAGATTTAAATAAACTCAGTATTATTATTTAGTTAGTTATGCCGAATAAAATAGCTGAAAATTGCAATAATAACAGAATTATTCAGTAGGAGTTAAAAATAACACAAGAGAGTCACACATTTTTCAGAGGGATCTGAATGTTTCAGATTGATTAAAGAATTATTTAGTTTACTTTATAGAGTCATGAAGTTACTTAAAAGAACTAAAAAATGAGAAATGCCCTCGGCGGGTCTCGAACCTGAACCTCTCGAATACGCACCGAGTGTGCTACCGTCACACCACGAAGGCATGCTAGAAGGAGGGAGAAAATGCCTAATAACATTCTCAACACAATAATCAGTACCTGTTCTATTCGTCATTTTAATTTCATGCTGCAATGCTACTTAGTATGAACCAAGCCTCGAAGCTTCGCAAGGCTTAGTTAATATTGCAGTTAGTCATGTAGCCCGATAAAGTGTAACTTTCCTTACGTTGTTTATTGCCGTGGTTCATTTCTATACTTTGTACCTTCTGTAAAAATAAACTTGTAAAGCATGACAAAAATAA